AAAATTGAGACTGGGATTGCTTGATGTGATGGTGCATGCCTGTAAACCCAGCACTTGGGAGGCTGAGGCAGGAGGATTGTGGTATGGCCCAGCCTGGGCTACAAAGTGAGTTCAAGGCAAGCCTGACTCAAAAAAACAGAATTTTAAAAAAAATGTATTTAGTACAGGGTCTACAGGATCTCACTACGTAGATTGGACTCCTAGTGATTCTCCTGTTTTCAGTCTCCTAAGCGCTGGGATTACAGGCGTGCCACCAAACCCAATCTCAATCGCTGTCTCAGTGTACCCTGGGAGTGGGGCTGGCGTGGCACACCTGGAATGGAGCCCCAGCCCCAGCCTTCTGCCTAAGTAATTTGAGAAAGTAATTTGAGACAGAGACTTACCAAATTGCCCACATTGGCTCAAATTTGCCTTCCTTCTGCCTCAACCTCCCAATTACAGGCATGTGCTAGCACACCTGGCTTGCGACACTAAAATTTTTGATACTTGTTAGTAATGAGGCTGGGTCTGGCTGAGAAAACTTTCCATAGCACCAAAAGAGGCCTCCTTCTCCTCTTCCCTCCCACACTCCTCTTCCTTCTTGGCGTGCTGTGGAGCAAACCCAAAGCCTCAAGCATGCTACGAAAGTGCTGAACCCCTGAGCTATGGCCCTCCCAGGAAAGAATGTTTTTGAAAGATGTTTGAAGGTCTTCTCATCAGCTCTTGCTTCAGTGGCCAGCATATATTTGACTGACAGGATGATCACCTTGAAACTTTGAAGCAGACTACCTAATCTGTTTTATAAAATTTAGAATATAATTTGCATGCTATAAAATTTACCAGGAATATAGAGCCAGGGTTATAGCTCAGAGGCACAGAGCCTGCCTGGCAAGCGTGAGGTCATGAGTTTGATTCCCGGTACAAAAAAAAAAAAAGACAAGTTATTTTATTTTCATAATTTTATTGAGAAATAAATAGCAATGAGACAGTTTCAAACCAAATTGGTAGGACAGTTTCAATAATTAACACATTGCATACTGTCTTCCTAGTGGTTAATTGCTGTACAAGATGCGGACATGATATCCTATTTACAAACACTATTAGAACAAATCCCTCTATTCATTAAGAGAATGTAACTATATATCTATCCTAACCATTTTGTTTTTCTAGCATCTGGCTTTTTTATTGGTTGCTTTTTTTTTTAAGCCCAGTATTTTAAAAAGTCACCTGAGGTGGTAGTCAAGAAGTGGAGGTAGGGACGGGCAGAATGGTCACTTGGGAGGAGGGTGCCAGCATGGCAATGACAGGTCCTTCACATGTAGTACCAGGCAAAGAGTCCAGCAGCCAGGGCCACACTGGCAGCCAGAATTAACTGGAGGCTGGGCTTCCTCAGTACACTCATGGCTGTCTGGAAAGGGCACCTATTGCCTCCCAGGGCACCTTTGTCTTGTTGAGCAGTATAGAAGGGGCATTTATGGATGTCTCCCTTCCCATCATGTACAGGAAAGCCATCTTCCAGGGTGTCTCTGGCCAGCATGGAGCCAGCCTGGTCCAGTTAATTGAATATCTATCTGCATGTTGTACTCAAAGGCCTTGTTAGCTTCCTCCACGATCCTCTCTTTGGTCTTCGGGCTCAGATCCAGGGCATTCATCCTGGCCCGGTAGAACTGCTTGAACTTCTGGGCATTGGCCACATTCTCAGACTGGTAGAACTGGGTCCCTTCCCCTGTGCTGGGGAGCTTTAGGGCCTGCTGGGCCACTTTCTTTAGCACCTGTCCCCCTGAAAGGTTTCCCACATAGTGGGTATATGCATGGGCCACAAGCAACTCTGACTCATTTTGACCCACATAGTGGATCCGTTCCACATACTTCTGGGTAGCTTCAGAGCACATCACCTGCTGCTCCCAGTTTTCACCAAAGAAATATCCCGTGTCGTTCGTCAGTGCCTCCTTCTGGTGCAGCTCCATAGGGAAGTACAAGGGGACAAAAGCTGAGTGGTCCTTGTTTCGGTCCATTTTCTCTTCAAGGGCTGAGTATGTGAAGTAAAGTGCAGTTGTGGCCAGCTTAAATAGTTCCTTCTTAATGTTGCCTTTCAAGAAGTCCTTGACGAGCTCAATCCCTGGTTCTGCAAAAAAGAAGAAGAAGAAGAAGAAGAAGAAGAAGAAGAAGAAGAAGAAGAAGAAGAAGAAGAAGAAGAAGAAGAAGAAGAAGAAGAAGAAGTCCTTGACAAACTGGGTGTTTTCTGCCCGGTTATGTACTTCCTTGGTCCCTTCAGGAGCTCGGATAGGTCAGGCATTCTGATATAGTTTTCCTTGTCTGGGGCCACAGGGTTCTTTCTCTCCAACTCATCTACCCCTTCAGAAGTCTCTACTTCTGCTGACATTGCTGCCAAGTGGTTCTTGCTACCCTTCTCTGGTTCGGCCACAGGCCCG